TGGAAAGAAGCAACAAGTAAAAGAAAATGCATCTTATTTTCTCTGGTTCACAAGTACTCTGCCTCAGAGTGTGTGACTTGCATACGGCTCTTCTGTACGAGACTATTCATATCAGATTTCATTTCTTGCTGCACGAGTTGCTATGGATACAATTCTGAACTGCTGCTTTTGTAGGCCAGGAGATTTATGAGTGCATCCCGAATGATTTTGCTCATCAGGGTCACGAGATTTTTATTTATTTATTTTTAAATAAATAGAAGTGGAAACAAACATACCCTGCATTTCTCAAAATATTTTTCGCAACCAAATCCTGTATTTTGGGTCTTCTTGAAGTCTATCAGAGTCTGTGGATCAGTCCCCTATTTATACTAAGTTACTGATCTATAAGAAACGCATAACCATACAAACTCCTAAGAGCCAAGGCCTAGCAAAAGTTAAGGGTCTGTATCAAAACAGACCCTTATGTGTTAGCCCTTGTTCTAATCTTACCCATTCCAGCTTTTTCACACGCAAAGACAGTTGGGTTCAGTGAAGTCACAGCATAAACAGACTCTTTAGAAATCCAAATCATGTGATTTATGATTAGGTTATTGTTTATCAAAACTACAGGAAGCCTGGTGCTACAATACGCACCAATACAAAATGGAGCACGTACAAGTAATACAGAAGAACATGTCATTAATATTAACTGCTAGCAATTCTAAATCATCTAACAACAAATCTTCATATTAAACAGACAGTTGGAAGTTCTGGGATAAACATACTCCTCCACCTTCCTGGATGCTATTAATCATACTGAATGCACATTGTCTTACCTTTCCTCGGATGGGGTTCATTAGCAGAGTCTCTGGCGTTGTGCCGATGGCGAAAGGAGGTCTGTTCCTGTAAAATCTCTGGAAGACCTTTGGATGCTCTAGGAGTTGCAAATGGAACTGAAAAATATAATATTGTTAGGGAGCACTTGTACTACACGATCCAAGGTAGCCCACACAAACACACTATGTGCTGCACAGAAGATCCGTGATAGCTGCTTTTCTCGAACTGCTCAAGTTACCTTGCCAGACAACATTCACCACAAGGGGAAGTGGGCCCTATGAGTTGGATACTCAGCTCTGCTTGCAGATGTCACAGCAACGCAAGGTTTTGTTGAGGTACAGCATTGCTGAAGTGGCTTCAGCACAGTGGTTTTACTGGGGTCAGGATGAAGGTCAGACTAGCAGATTTTGGAAAAGTATTTCAATGTCATCACTTTTAAAGTGCAGGACAGAAAAGGCCTGTCAGAGCACTTGGCAGGTGCATGAATATTTCTTACAGTATCTTTCTTCTTGTTTTCCCGGAGACATTTTACCTCTTCGCATTACCCGTCCCCTCTGCAGGACAGTTTAGAAACTGCACCATCAATGATTCAGCACCAGTTGCCACTACACCTTTATCAGCAGTCTTCCAGGCAATTTTCCATCCATTAACACAACAGTATTGCCCTCTAAATGAACATGAATAATTTCCACTGTAAATATTTAATGAAACACAGACTGACCCATTACACTGAACCATGACACACCCAGGCACAAGAGGAAGAAAATTAACGTCAAGCATAATTTAAATACTCTGTATCAAATTCTCCAAAGTGATGAGCAATTTTGAATTTTCAGCTTGAGACATGGCATAAGACCAGATCCACTGGTGGACGAGTGCTCAAAGCTTTCTGAAAAGCAGGGCTGCTTAAAGCGTTTCAAGTGGGTCAGGCTGTCTTCGCTAATCACTGTTGAAATGTAGGCCACTGCACTTCCATTTGCACAGTGGTAGCACAGCTAAGTTGTCGGAGTCACTAGGACGCAAAAACCTCAAAAAAGCCCCTGAATGTGGGAACAGAGCTGGAATAGAGTAAGTTTACAGTTGGCATCCCTATGATACAACTAGCAGCACGTGAACAGATGCTGACTTATTGCTATGCTGTTGCTGGACCAAGACCTGTATCTGCCGAAAGATCCCATTCTTGTTGAAAAATATTTATGACAATAGCGATAGTCCATTAATATGTTGAGAGTTATTATTAACTAGGTAACTAGATAATTATTAACTTCAAAACAGCACCTTTTCTCAAAAAACACATAAAAGAGTCATAATTGGCCTACATCAAGCTCTCTGCTGCTACAGCCAGACTGCTCCTAGTAACTGAACCAGCTAATTTAAGGACATTTATTTTGGTAACGCGCACCATCATACAGAAATAGCGGTCCGTGGGCCCCATACAGCAGCAAAGGCCAGATCAGGTATGTAAGTCTAAGCCTGATAACCTAAAGTCCTTTGTTAGAGTAATAGCAGAAGAAACAAGATACGCCACTGAGAAGATAGGGAAACAGAGGTCAACAGTATGAGTTCCTCAAGGTCAACATAAGTGACAGCTTGCGCTTAAGTGCGTGTCTGCCAGACATAGCAGGCTAAGAGGGAACGCCTATGCAGACCACTAAGTGAAATGAATCTCCCAGTCTTTTCACAAACTGGTCGCCTCCGTGAGGTTGTAATTAACATGGAGCGGCTTGCTAATTAGCATATGGCTAGTATTGAGAAATATACTGAAGACCGTTAATATGCTATAAGTGGTTAGTTAACACTAACATGATTCTGAAGATAGAGCAAATCTACATTCAAGTACAGCGCTAGCAGTTTTGGGCCACTCGTCTCCTACTCAGCAATTCTAGAGCAATCCTGGGCAATGATACACAAAAGCTCACACCTTGTTTGCACTAGCTACAGAAGGGGAATAGCAATGCTTGCTTACAGTCTGCAAGTGCAAATATAACTTTTGAAGTTCCTACAAAAGTACGCACACATATAGATTTGTAGCTGTTCATGGAGCCCTACAAACTCGAAGCATGGCTGGAGCTAGCTACAACTTTCTGTGCAGGAGCGACAGACGTTTAGAATCAACACTCCTTTATTTGTACAGAGAAGGAAGTGTTTATTTTGGTAGAACTATAAATTGCCTATCTGATTCCTGATAGCAGTGTTTAATAACTGAATCTAGATACGCAACTGAGGAAGACCTTATCAGTGAAAAATTAAATTAGATGGAAATTCTAGTTCCCAATCTTCATATTGGAATACAGAGGTAAGTACATTCATATCAACCATGGTAGTAGCTGTGTGTACAACACTGGTACCAGACTCTGCTTTTGCTGCAAGGAAAATACCATTCTTTAGAGACAAGGTAGGATCTGAATTGCTCAAAACCACCTGTGAATAATGCCATTGTTGAAATTTTGAGTATGCATGTGGTTCACATAAAAGTAGTGAGGATTTTTTCCTCAGTATCTGAACACCTGCACAGAAGATCAAAACTATTTTCTTAATAAATTACTCTGTTTTGTTAGCTTTTGAATACGTTATCTATCCTAATACATTTCAGCACATTAGTTTTGCAAATTAATCTTCTATAAAAAGACATTAGCTCATTTCTCTCAGTAGCATTTTAGGCATCAGAAGTCTATTCCTAATATATTATGTAAATATTCCAGTAGAGAACCTTAATAAGTTAATATTTCCAATAAATAACTAAAAAACCCATGCACGTGACTGAAAAGAAGAAAAACAAATTCGGCGCTCTGCTTTCCTTACACAACACTGCAAGTCATCTTAGGAAGAAACATGAATCCTTGACTTTCAGCATTCTGACATTTCACTCCATGGATGTACAAGTCTTAACATGATGAGGATCATAGGGGTGGTCAATACACATCCCTGGGACTCTCCAGTGATATCACTGCAAACATTTCTAGAGTTAAAATGCTAATCTAGTCATTTCATCTAAATTTAATGTGGATGTTGGAGAGTGATTTATCATGTTTGTTATTCTCAGCTAGAGGAATTAGCATTGCTGCAGCGATTTGAATGATTCTGCCCACTGTGTCTCACAGTTGCAAAGGCTTTTTGTCTGCAGAATTAGAAGCTTGACAGTTGCTCACAATTTAGGGAGTGAAAGAATGCATTTTTTAGAACACCATACTGAGATTATCCAAAAGGACTGGCCTGGCTGCAACACAGAAAGAAGTCCACATCTCTCTAACAACCTGCCTGTGTGTTTTTCAAATGGGGTCATACGATACATATGCAACATCTACTGCAGGTTTTGTATTGCTGGTGCTGATGCTTCAGGGAGGATGCAGTGATCCTCCATTGGCTGGATCACAATAAGCTGGTGAAGGGTCTGGAGAACAAGTCTGATGAGGAGCGGCTGAGGGAACTGGGGTTGTTTAGCCTGGAGAAAAGGAGGCTCAGGGGAGACCTCATCACTCTCTACAACTACCTGAAAGGAGGTTGTAGCAAGGTGGGGGTCAGTCTCTTCTCCCAAGTAACAAGCAATAGGACAAGAGGAAATGGCCTCAAGTTGCGCCGGGGGGGGGTTTAGACTGGATATTAGGAAAGATTTCTTCAACAGAAAGGGTTGTCAAGCACTGGAACAGGCTGCCCAGGGAAGCAGTTGTGTCACCATCCCTGGAGGTGTTTAAAAGATGCGTAGATGTGGTGCCGCAGGACATGGTTCAGTGGTGGACGTGGCAGTACTAGCTTAACAGTTGGACTTGATGATCTTAAAGGTCTTTTTCAACCTAAATGATTCTATGATGAGGTAAGCTTTGCTCCAGTGTTGGTGGTTCAGGGAAGTGTAGATAGCTAGGGAACTTGCAGAATATTTTAAAGTGGTGGCTTCTTCATATGTTAAAAAATACCCTCTTCCAGCAGCCTTTACCTTATCACCTCCCTGGGGTACATAACTGTGCTTGATACAGCAGAAGTCAGTAGGGCCTTGGCATAGAGGAATCTTATTGCTGAAGTTCAAAAATTATTTTAATCTGTTTGTGCAGCAACATGCAACTAGTTTGACACTCTACAAAAAAACCCCGACAAAACAGATGGGTTGGGTAGGTCCAGGGCATCTCTAAAAATCTGTTCAAAGAGCCTGCATTCCAGCTGAGCAACTTAACAAAACTAGATCTAGCTGTTAAAATACCTCTGAGGAGTTGGGTTAAAAAGAGGGGGAATCCTTATAAGCCTCAGCAGGCAATAGCCCATGCAGTCAAGTCAGCACATAAATGAGCACCAGCTATCATTTTATTGGATTCCTTTGGTGGGGGCACTGAGCAGGAAGGAATTTTTATGCATATATGCATACACAGAAGGACTATTTTTTCATCTATGTAAAGTCAAAACATACTGGAACCATAAATTACATCCTGGATAAGCGTTCAGAGTTTATATCCTTTTAAGGAATACAGCCTAAAGTTAGCACCCCACTTCCAAGGTATAATCTTCCATCACTGTTAGATTCTGCTGCCTGATCGCAGCCAGACAACTGGCTCAAAACCAAGATCACAAGTGTGCCAACATATGGAAACAATTGCTTTCCTTTTGATTGGAAATGACATATTCTGGGTGTGTGCACAACATCCCCCACCGATCATCCAAAATGGTTCGTTATTTGGACTTAAACTTATTATCCAATAGAAGATCCCTAGAGCCTTTTGTGAAGGATAGGAAAGATATTTACACATCCCAGAAAGCAAAAGAGCCTCTACGTGGTGATAGCTTGTCTGAGCCACACCGCATCCTGACTGAGCTTGATTCCTTCTCTGTACAAGGTTGTGTTTCATGCACCAGCATTGATGTTGCTCAGCTTAATGCAAAAGCAGCTAAATCTTGAAATTATACTTGCATAAGTAAGGCTGTGCCAGCTGCTAATCACCCCCGGGACTCCAGAAAATCTCCACACATTGGCAGTCTCGGCAAGAGAAGTGAGGAGAAAGGTTTAATAGTGAATATTTGACCATAGATTACATGCTTTGACACCAGTAACAGCCTATCTGTCTCAATGAAGTTGCAATGGCAGGAGGCCTGCAGCACAAGGAAAAAAATCAAGAGGATTTTTGTTGAACCCACATGGCTGATCTGGAGATAGA